AACTCCTTTGAGAGCTGACACAAGAACCTGCTAATGTAGACATGGAGGCCAGTCGCTTAAGTCTTCCACAAGAACCTGGGTCACCAGAAAAGACAAAAGAGCGACTGATGCTCTGATCGCTGTGCCTTGTTTGCCACAAGAACCTACCAATACAGAGCAGGTAATTCTGACACAAGAACTTGTGTTGGTAGACGAGACAGCCGTTGTCCATGTAACTTCTCTGGATATACCGAAACCTTCAGCTCTAGCTCCTGAAGTAAAGGCTTCTCGTCGTACACGAGATCAAGTTCTTAGAGAATCCATTGAAAGGGATTACAAACGAGTTCTGCAGTGGCAAAAGTGGCGCACTGCTCCACTACGGACCTTTCTTGAAACTTTTGAAGCAATGCAGGATGAAGAAATCTTTGCACTTGAGTGGATTGGCACTGATGACGTTTCAAAAGCTCTTCGAATTGAAGAAATCAATCGTGTTTTCTCTTACAAGATGACAAATCGCACTCTCGGGAGAGATAAAGCTCCAATCTGCATCGAGCTTAACAAGCCACCCTTGGATCCAGTTTATGAAGAAGAAATGAAGCAACTTCGATATGCCATGTTGCTATCAAAGATCAAGACCTCTTTAGAGAAGGAACACCAAAATGATCCAAATTGTAATGTCAGTGGCACGAAAGATGAGCTTGGACGAGAGAGTGAAGAAGACGAGAGTAATGAAGATGAAGATGATAATGATGATGATGTTGACGATGCTGATGATGAGAATGATGCTGATGATGATGATGATGATAATGATGATCAGTTGGGTAATGAAGGTGCTCAAGAAGCCGACCCCGAAGACAGTCATACAATCTTGATCGGTCCTGACTATGACACCTATCCTCAAAGATCTCCCTTAAGAAAACTACCATCTGACAGTGATGACTCGGAAGAAGTTTCAACTTCTCATCCCGAAGATCTATCTCGTGCCATTGTTCCGCATATCCATCCCATAGACGAGACTCCAATCAAGCAAGGAAATGAAAGTATGCGTGAGGGCAAACTGGAAGCCTCACCAATTCTTCTTAGCTCAGCTAGTGGTGGAAAACGGGAAGCACCACCTCAAGATGATCACATGGACACATCACTAACAGACATTGAGGAAGAATCCCCTGCAGAGTCCCCACGGACTATCATGAACATCATGAGAGGAACTGTTCATTCAGCCGAGACCATCCATAGGCAATATCTTGCTTTACGAGAAAAGGACACGAAAGTTATGGATGATCTGTGCAAGAAGGTCAATTTTCTGATAGCAGCACAATCTCAACCTCGATCTCCACTTCCTGCACAGCCTCAACCGCAGCAACAAAGCCAATTAGATCCCAAGATCCTTGAGAGAATGACAAAGAAATTTTATGATCTCGAAGCTTCCTTGAACAAAGTTGCGCGACAACAGCATGAAATCAAACACTCTCATTTTGGTCTCAAAGAGCGTGTGGATTTGGCCTGTACAAAGATTGACACATATCAGGACAATTCGTACCAACTGGGATAATATGCACTTCAAATTCTCGGGTACGCTCAGGATATCTTACTTACAATCAACAAGGCCTCCTCCATTCCTCCTACCACCTGTGCTGATGATGCCAAAAAAGGGGAAAAGAGAAATGATGACAAAGATAAGGATGATGATCAGCCGAGAGATAACACGAAAGATCAAGCTCGTGAAACACGACACTCTCCCTCTCGGACACTAAGAGACTATGACCAAAGGAACACGAATCCATCTCATCCACCTTCCAAGTCTCGTGGTTACCACTCCTCGAAGCAAAGATATCATGGTCGATACCAATCCTCCAAACAAATTAAGCCTCGACAATCATTTGGTTCTGAAGCCAAATACATCTTCACAGGACAGCCAAAGAGAGAACAGACGAAATTAACGCAGAAACTTATGAGAGATAACAAAGTAACTATGGATGGCATAGGAAACTTTGTGGACTTCGTCCCATATTAAGAAGGCAGTGGCAAACGATTCGAGGGTTGCAATAATCCTATCTGGTTGAAAACAAAAGACAATTATACAAGACAAAATCACATGAGCACTCAAAATGAGAGAATCAAAAGAGCAAACAAAGAACTATGGAGGAAACATGATGAAGAAAGAAAAAGAAGAGAAGATGAAGCAATGGAAAGAGAAAGGATCAGAAATCTCATTGAAGACCTTTCTAATGTAACCAAAGACTCCCCACAGAATGTCATGCACAATGCAGCTTTCGAAGTGCACAAGGAATCAGGAAAGAGATACCAAGAAGGCATGAATTCGTTTGAACTGATCTCGTGGTGGAAGTATGGTATTGTTGAAGGAAGCAACATTCGGGAAGCCTACAACAATTACACTGGTTTGAACATCAAAGGAGAACATGAAGAACTTGTCAGGTCTAATCCTATTAAAGTCTTCAGAGCAAAAATCAATGAGAAAATTGACTTCAACAGGATGCTAAAGCAACAAAAGGAAAAGGATGACCAAGAACTCAAGGAAGCTGAACAACAGAAATCAAAGCTTTTAGAAATGTAAGTTAACTTTCGTTCTGTTTCTCTTCATAAAGTTTTTGTAATGATCAGATCTTTATATATGAAACTATTATTGTCACACATCTCGTGTCACTTGTCTGAGTTACTTGTCCTTGTCTCGCTTATTAACGCTTTAATCTAGAAAAAGACTTGTAAACTCTCAAGTATGGCTGTTTTTTTTTTTTTATAGAAAAATCCTTATGGAACTTTTATCAGCCTTATAAGAAGAGTATAGGTTTTGGCATCATCAAAAAGGGGGAAATTGTTAGGAACATTGTATTAGGATTTTGATGATACCAATGTAATGTAGGAAAGTAGACCCCTAACCATTAGTTCTTTTTAATCGCTGCTTTCGTCCTAGACGAGAGTTGCCATAACTCATCTGTAATTCGTGTTAAGCTAGACAAACACACGAAAATGAGTTATGACTAGATGTTAGGGTCTCCAAGGCGAAAGAAGACACGAGACATGAAGAACAACAACGAAAGTCAAGCAGGAGTTGTCAACAAGCACGAAAGGACAGTTTTTGTTAAAGACGATCTTTATCAAGCATTACTTCTCTTCAACAACGAGAAGAATGTTCCACCTGTCTGATTTGACAACATCCTAGGACAATAAGGACTTCATCTTATGGGACACACTTTTCAAAAGCATTAAATGAAGATGTACCATCTTCTGGAGCTAAAGGACAAATCCTAATGCTTCCCATATCTTCAACGGCTACATGGTACAACCTCATTAATGAAGCATTTAATGCATGAAGCTCCCCGGTCCTTGTCCAATGGTTAAAGGGTTTGAAAATTTCATCTCCCTCCAACGGATGAATTTTCATCACCTATAAAAACCCACCTTCATCAGCTAAGAAGGTGCTGGTTCATTATCACTCAACTTACTCACTTACAAAAGCTCTTGAAAAGTCTACAATTTACTAAAAGCTTTTGTGAACCAGTTTTGAGGTGCTAAGTTACTTGAAGAATCATTTGTCTTACACCTCAAGGAAGTCTTGACATCTGTTTGAAGCAATCATATCTCAGAGTCAAGACCTCATCGTTGGAGAATTCAAGAAATCATTTTCTAACAACCGCAACTCAGGAGAAGAAGTTGATAGAGGCGGAGTAAACTCGAGGAGTTGAAAAACCTACGAAGGCTGTCCGGCTTAGTGATCAAGGAAGTCTTTGTGTACTTGTACTAAGAGTGATAGTGCAATCCTTCCAACAGTTGTGGAAGAAGAGTGGAGTAGGCAATATTGGCTGAACCACTATAAAATCTCGTGTCCCCTCTAACTCTTTACTTACGCTTTTCTTTTGTGCATTCATATCATTCCTTTATTATCGTTACCGAAAGTTTGTCTAATTACGCAAACTCGTGCAAAGTATCTAAAACAAATCTATCTTATCCGCTGCGCCAAGACACCGAAAGGTGACGTTTAGGGCTTCTAACGAAAAGAGAGTCTATTCACCCCCCCCCCTCTAGACTCTCATCTCATTCTATCGGGACCAACAGTAAAATAATGACATTTTAGTCTTTTACTTCTTCTATGTTTCTTCTCCATTGGGTCTCTTCTATGCGGAAAAATTATATGCCGGAAAACATTTCTTTGAAGTTTTGATCGGAAAGTTCTGACGATGAATTCACGGATTTGGGAATCTTCTCATTGCGTTGCAAGGTCTCTTCTCTCTGCCAATTCCAAGAACGGTTCTCGTGCCTTCTCTGCCTAATCTGTGCAAGTAGTAATCCGTTATTGTAAAATTGTTGATATACCTTGTGAGTTAGAACAGTGTCCTTGGAAATGAAAGATTCAGCTCAACTATCTTTCATTTCTTCTGAATTAATTCCTCCTCTAGTTTACTATGAATTTTTCCGACATAGAAGAGACCCAATGGAGAAGAACAGAGAATAAGCAAAAGACTAAAATGTTCTAATTATTTTTAACATTAAAATTTTCTGGCTACTTGTCATTTGACAATTTGACTAGATGAGATCAAAATGGATAAAAATTGAATAGTTAGGGTACTCAATTGTTAATTTTGAAAGTCCTGCATTGAAATTAACAAGACCTCAATAGTTATAAGACCAAAAGTGTAATTATCTCTAAAAGCTGCAACAAATTTGCAGAAAAGCTAAGCAAAAAGGGGTAGAAATTGAGAAGGAAATAAAGAAATAGCATTAATAAAAACAATATCCAGAATAATTCTCCAAATACACCAAACAACGATTGTAATGATAGAAAAGACAAAAATATGTAATGAAACAAACTCCTAAGCTTCTGCTTGCTGTTCCTTCTCCCACAGCTCAAGAAAGCAGACAAATTTCTAAGCTAGCTGGCAACATCTCCCACAGCTACTTCTTCCATCTTGATGCTAACAACTTATCAATTCAAAGGATGATGCTTAGCTTTGGACTCTATCTGATCTGAAGCATGCTCCCAAAAATATCATATTAATTAATCTTCAGTGCATCAAGAAGAATTTCCTTGCTTTATTTAATTCACCAACAACATCACGAATCTTCAATCTATATGCTGGGAATTCCACAGAACAAGCAACCCCAACTTTGAACATACAAACTAAGCACACATCAAATTTGTCATTCTCCTTGCACGATTTCTCTTTCTTCCTCATTTGTGTTTGTTCATCTCTTTCTTGGACAAGTTTGGGATCTGCAATCTCCACTCCTCTGTCTGCTAAACCAGCCTTAGCGTAGCTATGAAGGTTTAAGCCGTCTTTGAACAATTCATCCGTAGGTCTCTTCCCAGTGAACATTTCTAAGATTAGTATGCCAAAGCTATATACATCACCTGCTTTTGATGGCCTGCTTCCAATACCATATTCTACTCCAAAAATGAAACCAAAAACAAAATGAAATAAAATAAAAAAGCAACTATCCAAATGTAGATTACAAGAGCAAATGCAATAGAAAGTAGAAAGAAAGTTGGAGAAATAATTAGGCATTAGTGTCAATTATAAACCTTACCCGGAGGTGCATATCCAACAGTTCCTTGTACTCCTATAAGACTGTGGTTGTCTGATGAAGAGCTTTGAATCCTTTGTTGTACAAATCTTGCCAGTCCAAAATCACTTACATGTGCAGTCATGTTTTTATCCAGGAGAACATTACTCGGCTTGAGATCGCAGTGGATTATTGCAGGTTCACAATCATTATGAAGATAATCCAAAGCGCATGCCACATCAATGAGAATGTTTAACCTTTCAACAAAACATAAGCTTTTATTGTCTTCAATCTGGGAATTCTCTTGGGGACTAAAATGCAACCAATTCTCAAGGTTTCCACTATCCATGTATTCATAAACTATAGCCTTAAAATCATTTCCTTGAAGATCAAACCCCGAGCAAGCAGTTAGCACCTCGACAAGATTCCGGTGTCTGGTGTTTTTCAGCACCTCACACTCAGCAACAAAACTTCGAGAAGCTCCATGGTGCAAAAGATCAAGTACTTTCACTGCAAAAATAGTTCCATCATGATCAAAACATCCTTTATATACAACTCCAAAACCACCAACTCCTAGTAAATTTTCTTGAGAAAACCCATTAGTGCACTTGAAGAGGGAATGATATGACACTCTTAAGATTGGATTTTCTGTCAAATTAGGAAATGGTCCTTTTCTTTGTCTTCTTAACCATCTACGACAGAGAATAAACACTACAACAGTTAGCCCAACAATCCCAAAAATCAGAGGAATTACTATTTTCAAATAACATTCTGAATTCTTCATTTTGGACTTTGTAGTATTGCATTCAGGGAGTTTCAGCTCTGGTATGCCCCCACAGAGCTTTTTATTTGCTGCAATTGAAACAAAGCTTGTGTTGTTGAAGTTCCTGTGGTTGGTACTGCTCCTTCAAAATCATTGTATGAAAGATTCAAATTTTGTAAAAGTTTGAAGTCTTTCAAGAAAGTTGGGATTTGACCTATGAAATGGTTGTGAGAAAGTTGTAAGAATTGCATACCCCTCAGATTTGCCAAGGATGATGGAATTGGGCCTTCAAGATTGTTATTTGTTAGATTCAAGATTTCCAAGTAAACGCAACTACCAAGCTCTGGTGGAATAGGGCCTGACAATGAATTATAAGATAGATCCAAGATCCCTAGATTTTTCAAATACCGAACCTCTCTTGGAATGGAACCTATGAACTGATTGTGAGAGAGATCCAAAAACAATGACAAGGATGAGAGTTGAAGAACTTCCTTAGGGATGTGCCCACTAAGGTTGTTGCGAGAAAGATCTAAAAACTCTAGGTTTTGGCATTTTCCGAGACTTGCAGGAATTGTATCATGGAGGTAGTTTCCTCCAAAATTAAGCTGTAATAGACGGGTTAAACTTCCGATAGAAGATGGAACTTTTCCAAAAAAATTGTTTAGAAATAAAATCAATATTCTTAGGTTGCTAAGAAACCCAATCTCAAGTGGAATTTCACCACTGATTTTGTTCTGAAACAATAGTAATACCACTTGGGATGTTTCCAAACACCTGATTACTCCGAATGGAAAGAAATCTAAGATTTCTTGAAAGGTTAGTGATTGTTGTAGGCAAGACCCCTCCAAAATTATTACCACCAAGGTCCAATATCTCTAATTAAGTTGCTCGCATTGGTCAATGAAGAAAGGAAGTTCAAGTCAAAAACATTCCCTTCCCCAAGATGATTACCTCCGGCCAAGAACTTTTGTAGTTTTTGTAACTTTCCAAGGTTAGGAACTTTTCCCGTCATTTTGTTTTGAGTAACACAGAATATTTGCATTTGTGTTGCATTTGATAATGTAACAGGAATACTTCCAGTGAAATTGTTCCCACAAAAGTAAAAATAAAAAAAGGCGGGGAAGAGTAACGAAAAGGTTGGGGTGCAAAGTCCCCCTTATGTGATTTCCAGCCACATTAATAGTCAACATGGATGAATGGTTGAATAGAGAAGGGGTATAGTGCCACTCAAATTATTTTGGCTAACTAAAAGGTATTGTAGTTCAGACAACTTACATAGAGAATCGGGTATTTCTCCAAATAAGTTGTTGACGGAGACAACAAAGTGATTAAACAGTGAAAGATTCCCTAAAGAATGGAGGATTTTACCAACAAGGTTGTTGTGATTAAAAGAAATGACTCGAAGATTACTTAGGGTGCCAAGCTCTGATGGAATGTTGTCTGCAAGATTGTTATATGAGAAATCTACAAATTGCAGGTTTTTACATACAGAAATATTTGACGGTATAAACCCACTAAATGAGTTATTGTTCAAATTCAAAATTTGTAATCTATGCAAATGACCAATGCTTTGCGGGATGTCACCTGAAAAACTATTGTTTTGGAGGTCCAAAGCCTTGAGAAAGCTCAAGTTCCCAATGTATGAAGGCAGTGATCCCACCAATTTCAAGGACATGAGATTTAAGGACATGACTCTAAGGTGGCGGCGGCCACACAAAACACCAGGCCACTCACAGAAATGGATGGTTTCATTCCACGAGGCCATGACACCAAACGGATCTTCTTTGATCATTTTTTTGAATTGAAGAAGTGATATAATGTCGGTCTCATTGCCTGGTAGCTTGGAAGCAGATGAAATAAGGGCAGATCCTAGAACCAAGAAAGTGAAGAAATACAGAGAAAGGATAGGCTTAGTAGTGAAAAAGAAATGAAGAGTAGGAAAAGCCATCATTAGTGTGGTGTAAGTGAAGTGCCAAAGGAAGATAGATGGTGGTAAGTATTATATAAGAATCGTTCGTTAGAAGGGCACTATATATATGAATGCCACTTGCAAGATTTTGTAGGAATAATCTGATTTTGTGTTTTCATCTACCATTGCTTATACAACTGTCGTTAGAAAAGTAAACGACCAGAAGAGAATGCATTTTCTGTAGAAGACAAAAGCTTGATTATTAGTCAATTTTTTGTAGGAATATAATTATTGTTTTTGAGTTAACAATTTAAAATAAATTCCATCCACAATACTTCAATTCCAGACAACTAATTGTTGTCTGGATTATTTTGAGTTATCTAACAGAAGTTGTCATCTATTATAACCACTGAACATGAACCACAGAGGCTAGACCAATGCTCACTGCGCACAAGGAGCCCCTCTCACTGGTTATTCTTTCAAAGTTTCACCTCTATGCCCAGTTGAGCTACCCAAACTGTACTTGTATTGAACTGAAACTTCAGTGTATACAAAATGAAACTGAATAACAGAGTTACTTTTTGCAGAACGGCGCGGAATAGCGCGACATGGGTATCGTTTCTTTTCATTAAACAAAACGGCGTCGTTTTGAAGCTCGGTGCATAATCGATTATGCACCGCGGTGCACGATATAATTTATCGTAGACCACGGTTCAAAACGACGTCATCTCGTCAATAAGAAGAGACGATGCCGTTAACTCCATTGCTACGACATATATTTTTATAATTCATAAAGTACATTAATCTAAAGCATAAAATACATTATTCTAACTCATAAAGTACATTATCTTACCCCTGAAGGTTCATTTTTAACGCATAAAATACATTATTTTAACTAATAAACTACATTATTCTAATTCATAATGTCCATTATCTAAACACGTTAGGAGTAGAGAATACAATCGTTATGCTCTGAGTACATGCCCACCTTGCATGGTGCGCATGAATCAATATTCATAATTTCTATATTGTAGATCCATAATTTCTATACTATAGATCCATAATTTCTAGACTCTTGGTGAGCTAAAATTTATACTTACGATACCGTTAACTCCATTGCTACGACATACATTTTTATAACTCATAAAGTACATTAATCTAAAGCATAAAATACATTATTCTAACTCATAAAGCACATTTATCTTACCCCTGGAGGTTCATTTTTAACGCATAAAATATATTATTTTAACTAATAAACTACATTATTCTAATTCATAATATCCATTATCTAAACACATTAGGAGTAGAGAATGCAATCGTTATGCTATGAGCATGTGCCCACCTTGCATGGTGCTTACGAATCAATATTCATAATTTTTATATTATAGATCCATAATTTTTATACTATAGATCCATAATTTCTAGACTCTCGGTGAGCTAAAATTTATACTTTAGATTCATAATTTCTAAATACAGTAGATCCATAATTTCTATATTGCACTGATTTGTGTAAACATAGTTCATCAATTGGAATCTAAAGTATAAATTTTAACTCACCGAGATTCTAGAAATTATGAATCTACAGTATATAAATTATGGATATAGATTTGTGCGTACCTGTGCATGGTGGGCACGTGCTGACAGCATAATTTGCCTAGAGAATGTGAGTCCACATAATATGAGTCTTACAAGCTAAGGGACAAATCAAACAAAGACCAATAGAAAATATATACAGGAAACTCCATTGTCGGCCTTGTGATTCTATACAACACGGAATAAACTGGCTTAAACTGAAAATGATAATAGACAACGTAGGAAAAGGTTTAATTATAATAAGTATAGGCCTTTGTAAATATATTTTTTAAATATGCATAAATATTAATTGTTATCAACGGTGTCATGAAAGAGTGGTAGGAAGGACACTACATGAATGTAACATCTCACAAGAAAGCTATTCTAATGTGATTTATTTGTTTCTATCTAATCCATCAATTATGTCAGAAAAATAAACTCAAAAAATGTATTTTCCTTGGAGAAAATTAAGGATCTTGATTATCGGAGAAGAGGAAATAGAAAATAATATTCCTCTTCAATTTTTTACCACCTCAAATAAACCCCCAATTTTATTTTTATTTTTTTGTTTGAAAGCTATTTATGTGGATTTTGGTTCCAAAAGTTTGACAACACCCAAATGTATTCTTTTGAAGTCCTTTCATTTTCAACAACAACCTGGAGAGACCGGCATAACCATTTGCACACTCATCTACTTACAAAAGAAAAATCAATAGAATTAAATCCCTCTGCTTCATTTTTTATAAAGAAAATGAATATCTATTGCATCACAAGAAGAGAGAGAAATGCAAAACATTTAACTTCAATGAGATCTTTTTTTTTAATTATTTAAAATATTATTATCATGGTGGTGAGTTGAAATTACAGGAATGTAAAGAAATAATTGGTGAATTGCAAAGAGTTGTACTACATGTCTCCATGTACTATTAACAACAGTGTTGCAAAAATTGGGCCTAGGCGCCGATTAGGCGCTAGGAGGTCGGCCACCTAGGCGCCCGCCTAGGCGCTCTAGGCGCTGATTAATCGCTCTAGGTGCCCGCCTAGGCGGTCCCCAAGCGCCTAGAGGGCGCCTAACGATTTTTTCAACCTTGATTAACAACAACAACAATAATAATAATAATAACAATAACAATAACAATAACAATAACAATAATACCAAACATTGAAATTGAAATTCCTAGTAATTCTATTTCTATAAAACAAACACTGGAATTTAAACTTCTACTTTAGTTCCAGTACGTAATTCATCACACATGGAATTGTAATTCCCTTCCCACGAAATTCCCTTCCTCCAACCAAAGGCCCCGTTAATATCTATTCCATTACTTTTACTCCTAATATGACAAACACTGATAAGTTATATTCATCATGTGAATCCTTAAAAAAGTCTCAACATCTAAGTATAGGAGTAAAAGATAGGAATCCACTTATACCAATCACACCGCAAAATATAGACAATGATAAAGTACTTACGAGGTCTCTGTATCATACTATAGTGTTTTATTCAATTAAGTCATTATACTTTTATTTTGTTTAATTTAGTTTTTGTACTTTAAAAAGTAATGAAATTAAGTACAATAGTTAACACTGTTAGTATTACAATTAATTTAGGTTACGTGGTGCTGACATCATCAGTGTCACATCATGATATTTATATTCCTACTCATATATTACTTTATAAATATTTAAAATTAATTTTTCGTACCACCAATACTTTAGTTAAACTAGTATGTCCAAAATAGATCATTACAACAATGTTCTTAATGAGATTTGGACACTTGATGTCAGCATGGTCGTAACTATTTATTTTGGACATATTAGTGTACTATATTAGTGGTAAAAATAATTAATTTAAATATTTATAAAATAATATTTGAGTTGGAATATAAATATCATGATGTGCCAGCAATGATGTTAGCCGCGTAAACTAAGTTAACGGTAATATTAACATCGTTAACTATTGTCCTTTGTTTCACCACTTTTTAAAGTAGAGAGTCAAAATTGAATAGAATAAAAGTACAAGAACTAAATTAAACAAAACACTATAATACATGGCTCTAATATGTACTTTGACCTATTCCTAATCAATTTTTGTACTACCTAAAAAAAACAAAAAAATAAATTGGAAGTTATTTACGTGTTTTTATTCCAAAAATTTTGACAACACACAAATGTATTCTTTTCAGGTCCTTTCATTTTCGACAACAAACCGTCGAGACCGCCATTACAATTTGCTCTCATATACTGTTGCAGATTGAGAGCAGAGAAAGGTGAACTGAAAACTGTATTATTCTGTCGTACTTTACAATAGGAAGAAGAGAGAGCTTTTATATAAAAGGAAAGAGCTAGCTGCTTCTAAGTAACTAACTTCCAACTCGTAACTAAGTTGCTGAAATACAAAGGACAGTAGATATACAGGAGATTATAATCCTAAAAGCCCCCTCAAGTTGGATTGTACAAGTCAAGCAATCCAAGCTTTGAAATATAGCTACGGAAACTGTGGCTTGCTTTTTGGATTTCCATGAAATCAAAGCACCTCCTAGAAAAACACAGAATCCAGTTATTGATTTTCTTGTATCAACACATGCTCTCCAGTCTGAATCAGAAAAGGCTTTTAACTGTAAGTTGGAGACTGCTGGAAAGAAAAGACCTTGGCCAGGAGCAGCTTTTATGTATCTTAATACTCTGTGAGCAGCTTGGAGGTGTAAGTGGGTAGGTTTGTCCAGAAATTGAGATAACTGATGTGTGGCAAACCAATGTCAGGTCTAGTGATGGTTAGATAAAGTAGTTTGCCCACTATTCTTCTGTACTGACTACTGTCTTCAAGAGGCTCACCTTCACTTTTGCTTAGTTTATGTGAGGGAACTGTGGGACTATGGGCAGGTTTGGATTCTATGAAACCGGTATTAGCAAGTAATTCTAAAGCGTACTTCCTTTGGCAAACTGCAATGCCCTTCTTGTGCCTGGCCACCTCCAATCCAAGAAAGTATTTCATAGGCCCCAAGTCTTTTAATTGGAACCTTTCATTGAGCTGTACTTTGACTTCTTGTATAGCTTCTAAGCCAGCACTTGCAGCCACTATATCATCCACATATACTAATAGGGCTACAAAGGACTTACCAACCCCTTTTGTGAATAGGGGGGAATTGTCAGGCAGGGACTGTTTGAACCCCATTCTTTGTAGAGCATCATTCAACATAGTATTCCACTGTCTGCGCTCTGGATTATCTTCATAACGATTGTGAACCTGCAATAATTCATTGCGATCTGAAGCCAAGAAATGTTCTCCTTGATAAAAACATGACTGGGTGTGTAAGTGATTTCGGATTGGCAAGATTTGTACAAACAAGGATTTAAAGCTCATTAGAAAGCCAAAGTTCTACAGGAGGGGTTCGAGGAATTATTGGTTATGCACCACCTGGTATGTAAGTATGCATGATAAGTACTATAATAATCCTCGATCTTTTAACTGTCAAATTTGTATACTCTTCTAATCTAGTATACATTTGTTATTCTTATTTGGGATTAGAATATGGATTTGGAAGCAAACCATCAAAATCAGGTGATGTATATAGTTTTGGCATACTAATCTTGGAAATGCTCACCGGGAAGAAACCTACAGATGAAGTGTTCGGAGGTGACTTAAACCTTCACAATTATGCTAAGGTTGCTTTACCAGACAGAGGGGTGGAGATTGTGGATCCAATAATTCTCCAAGAAAGAGATGAACAGACAAAAACCAAGAACAAAGTCGTCAAATCACACAACTTTGAAGTGTGCTTAGGTTGTATGATCCAAATTGGGGTTGCCTGTTCCAAAGAATCTCCAGCAGATAGAATGAAGATTGGTGATGTAGTTAGTCAATTAAATAAATCAAGGAAATCCTTCTTGATTCAAGCTTAGGACTTAGGAGTTTGTTTCATTATATTATTTAAATTTGTCTTTTGTATCATTAAATTAAAACATGTATGTGTAATGTGTTGGTGTTTTAAATGACAATTATTATCTCTTTCCTTCCCCCTTTTTTATTTCTGCAAATTAAATTTGTTGGTGAAATTTTGTAAAACGACCTTGGAGCTTGCTTTTACTACATAAGCTTAATTAACTTATTCATTAAATAAAATGACATGCATTCCCTTGGCTTCAGGACATCAAGGAAATTATCTAAAAAAAAAAAAAAGAGAGAGAGAATAATGGCCCTATTTGCTAAAATAGTTAGTCTATCAACCAATTTTGACTTGTTTGACAATTGTTAGCTGTTTGACTTTGTTAAACAACCAATATGAGTGTTTGATTAATTAGCTTTTGTTAACAGCTTATTGCTTCAAAAACTAAATTGAAAAGTTGATTTGAGCAGCTTTTTCAATATGCTTTTTAAGAAAATTAGTTTCTATATAATCAACTATCAACTAACAACTAATTTACCAAACTTCTTTTTACAATCAGCTAATGCTATTTTCCACGATGTCAAATCACACAACTTTGAAGTGTGCTTAGGTTCTATTATCCAAATTGGGATTGCTTGTTCCGCCAATGAATCTCCGGCAGATAGAATGAAGATTGCTGATGTAGTTAGTGAATTAAATAAATCAAGGAAATCCTTCTTCGTGCAAGCTTAGGACTTAGGAGTTTGTTTTATTATACTATTTTAATTTCTCTTAAAATAGCTTATTCGTTAAACAAAATGACATGAATTCTCTTGGCTTCAGGGCATCAAGGAAATGATCTAAGAATCATCAAAATCAGAGTCATAGTCAATAATGTGTGTTGACAAGGTTTGGACAAAATTGTGTAGATTCAAAGCCCTTACATTGTAGATGACGAAGGCAACAACGACGATAGACGTGTTGCAATTCTGGTAGATTGTTGAATATCGCATCAATGCCTCGATGTCTATTTGAAATTATGCATATTGACTAAGGTAACTGTTTTTTTTTTTTCAACTCGTCATAGTCATGGAATATCATCCCAACTTCTAAAATATTTTTAGTTGGGCTATACTGAGGAGTAAACTCTTCGTGCTCATTCTAGCATTGGCCAAAGGAAAAGCCAATATGATAATAGTTAATGTCTGCATCTCGCATTGGTTTCTTGCCTCTTCGTTGTGGTTGGTCATCATGCATTTGATGAATTTGTTCAAAATTGAAATGCATAGGTTGAATTTCACGATCAAAACTCGCAGCACTTGGCCATCTTCTTCCTCGCTTTTAGAATCAGCGACTGAACTGTATAAACAAAGAAAATTGAATATATATATATATATATATATATATATATATATATATATTCAATTTTCTTTGTTTATACAGAACACTGTTGTATATATATATATATATATATATATATATATATATATATAGAATAATGCTCATAAGTGGTCATGTTGCTAGGTGTGGTCGTGTGACGGAATTTCAGAATACACCAACAGTGTTAAAAACATGTACCAACAGTGTAAGGAAAACAAACCATAATGAAATGCAAAAAAATTACCAAAAAATACACAACAGACCCAAAAACTACACCATATAAGTCACCAACCCCAATGGTGTATTTTCGAACACTGTATGATATTTCTACTCACACATAATGGTGTGTTGTTGGTGAAACGTACCTAATTTGTTTGCGTTTTTTGTGGTGCATTTTCTGACGTTGATGGTGTATATCTTACTAACTATTGGTGTATTCTGAAAATCGCCACAGGACAACACGGGAAGTTGTCGCCACGCCTGAGTGCGACCCTATATATATATAGAATAAAGTTCAAATGCGGCGGGGTCTTCCCGTGCGGCGGTGCTGCGGAATTCCAGAATACACCAACAGTGTAATAAAAACACACCACAATGAAATGCAATAAAACATCACAAAATACACAACAGACTCAAAAAAATACACCATATAACTCACCACCCCCAATGGTGTATTTCTGAACAGTGTATGGTGTTTTTACTCACACCTAATGGTGTGTGTTTGGCGATGCGGGGCTCTGTTTACTCTGTTTTGTGTGGTGTATTTTCTAACGTTGATGGTGCATATTTGTTGAACTATTGGTGTTGCCGCACCGTAAGAAATCGCCGCACCGTAAGACACTGCCGCACCTGAACTCCCCTATATATATATATATATATACATATATATATATATATATATATATATATATATATATATATATATATATATATGAAATTCAAAATTCCTGAGTTACAATTGGATGCCTTGAACACTTCACTACTGAAGGGCGCCTTGAACACTCCACAACTGAAGGGCCTCCAGAATTCAAGTGCCTTGATCTTCAAAGAAGAGCTGGTATATATAGTTTGGTCTTCGTTGAAGGGCCTCCGGGTTCAAATGGCTTGATATCTTCAATGGAGGTTTGGATCAACATGCATGATTGGATTGGAGGAGGGGCTTTTATTTTCAGGATCACATTTTTATTGTGATCCCTGAATAAGCTTCAAAGCTTAGGATGTTTCTATGAATTTTTCCCCAGGATTTGTGATTACATAGAAATAAGAGGTCCTATTTATAGCGGTAGGATAGAAGAGTTTTAATAAACTCAAACTCTTTTGATATTATCTAATTAACAAATTAGATAATATCAATATTATCCATAAATGTAATGAAATATATTCAAATAAACTAATATAGATAAATAATCAATATTTATCAAAATTTAAGTGTCAACAAATGCCCCCTCGAGACTTGTTTAGCTTGTATGCCACTTGAGAGCATATATATGCCACTCGAAAGTATGTAGTGCAAGGAAGTCTCGACACTACAATTAAAGATATAAGGCCGTTTCAATTCGTGCCAAGGAGCCTTGAAAGATATGATATGAGGCCTTTTCGACTCGTGCCAAGGAGCCTTGAACGATATTAGGCCGTTTTAACTCGTGCAAAGGAGTATCATTTATGAACAAAGAAAATTGAATATATATATTGAAATTCAAAATTTTGATTGCAACGACTATCAATGCGGTGTGGGTACAAGATCTCTGAATGGTCTTCTTATTCTTCAATTGGATGCCTTGAACACTCCATTGAAGGGCCCCCGGAATTCAAGTGGCTTGATCTTCAAAGAAGGGCTTGTATATATAGCTTGTTCTTCGTTGAAGGACCTCCAAGTTCAAATGGCTTGATCTTCAATGGAGGTTTGGATCAACAGGCATGATCATCATGGAGGAAGGACTTTTTCCTTTAGGATCACATTTTTATTGTGTCTCTGAATAATATTTTCAGGATGTTTACATGATTATTTATTAGGATGAATACATAGAAATAAGATGTCCTATTTATAGCTGTAGGATAGAAGAATTTTGATAGATTCAAACTCTTTTGATATTATCTAATTAACAAATTAGATAATATCAATATTATCCAAAATATTTTCAAATACACTCAAATATATTAATATTGATAACTAATCATATTTATCAAATTTTCAATGTCAACAAATGACCCCCCCCCCCCCCCCGAGACTTGCGTGTACACCACTTGAGAGCATATATCACTCGAGAGTATGTAGAGCAAGGAAGTCTCGACAATACAATTAAAGATATAAAGTTGTTTAAACTCGTGCCTAGGAGCCGTGAAAGATATGCTATGAGGCCTTTTCAACTCGTGCCAAGGAGCCTTGAATGATATGAGGCCGTTTTAACTCGTTCCAAGGAGTATCATTTAACCTCCTTCATATCAAATTTCATATGGGTTTGCTCCCATACCGGTAGAATGGTAGAGCTGTCCCACTGGGCGTGCCAATTTGTAAACAAAGAAAATTGAATATATATATATATATATATATATATATATATATATATATATATTTTTTTTTTTTTTTTTTTTTGAAATTCAAAATTCCTGAGTTACATGTCAAGTATCAATGTGGTGTGGGTACAAGTCTCTGGATTCATCTTATTCTTCAATTGGATGCATGAACCCTCCACTACTGAAGGGCGCCTTGAACCCTCCACTACTGAAGGGCGCCTTGAACACTCCACTACTGAAGGGCGCATTGAACACTCCACCATTAAACGGCCTCCGGAATTCAGGTGGCTTAATCTTCAAAGAAGAGCTGGTATATATAGTTTGGTCTTCGTTGAAAGACCTCCGGGGTCAAATGGCATGATCTTCCATGGAGGTTTGGATCAACAGATATGATTGGATTGGAGGAGGGGCTTTT